AATTACAAGCAATGGTGCTGAGGGGTGGAGGGGGGGCGGGGTGTTGTGGGCGGTGTGGGTGGTGGGGGTGGCGGTCTTATACTCTTATTACGAAGGAATTACAAGCAATGGTGCTGAGGGGGTGTCGGCGGTGTGGGTAGTGTGGGTGGTGTGAGTGGGGGTGGTGGAAAATGGGTGAGGCGCGGCGGACAGCCCTTAAATACTCTTATTACGAAGGAAATACAAGCAATGGTGTGGGGCGATGAGAGCAGTAAAGAGGGGTCATCGAGAAACACAAGCAAACCTCGGCGGACAACCCTTCTATACTCTTATTACGAAGGAAATACAAGCAATGGTGTGAGCGATGAGAGCAGTAAAGAGGAATCATCGAGAAACACAAACAAACCTTCGGGTGCAGCACGGGCGCCGCCCCACCGGGGGTCGGCGGATAAATATAAATAAATATAAAGAAATATACATAAATATAAATAAACATAAAGACATACAAAGAAATATACATAAAAATAAATAAATCAATAAATACATAAATAATTAAATATATATATATAGAGATATAGATATAGATATAGATATAGATATGTATGAATAGATAACGTTCCGCGTGTGCCGGACTCTTCTGAGGCCCTGCACTCGGACTCACGGGAGTGCGGGCCGGCTTCTCAGTCCCCAGCTCCGTTTTTTCCTCAGGAAGAGATGGGGCCTGGCAGAGACTCCAAAGAGAGCTCTTTGGAAGTTTGACGTTTTTGTTAAATCTCCAAGAGCCTGAAGTACTTTTGAGGGGAGATTTTGAGGCAGCCAGACACTTGGGACCCAGGCCAGAAAGCGTATCTCCAGGTCTGCAGGCGTTTTGTTCCAAACCTTGGTTGGATAGAATACTGACACGAACCGTTCCCTCGCTGACGACAGCAGCTACTCAGTGCCCTGGCACACACGGTGGAGGTGATGAGCAAGACCTGGCACGGACTTAACTGGCACAGTCCCAAACCTCGTCACAGCAAACTTCGGAATGCCAGAGGTAAAACCACGAAGTTGACTTACTTCTGCTATACCCTCACTTGCCACATCAGGCCCTGTCTAGTTTCAAGAATGCACCGGCTTCTGCTGCGCTGATCTGAGTTGTCAACCAGCTGTGGAGGTCTTGGCATGACGAGTCGGCACCTTGCGTGCAAATGAACTTGATGTGAATGCAACATCTTCGCCATCTCCTTCAACCCAGCCGGGTCCGCATGAGGAAGCCTGCTGTCTTCGTGTCCCATGTGACATCCACCTAGGACAAGAACAAACATGTACTTGCGACGACCCGGCGGGGTTTTGACTCTGCAACACTCAGATGCAAACCTCTCGTCCGTACTGCAGCCGGCATGGCTCCGCATCCTCAAAGGACCGCGATTCGAGCAGAGGAGACTAGTGATGAGGCACCTGTGCCAAGCAGACTCAGCTCTTAACGGGGTGATCCGGTAAACGAAGCTCCAAGAAGGGCCTCAACAGCGGCATTTTATGGCATTTTGATTCGGAGGCAATTCCCATGGTCATGCAGTACGAAGACAGGAGGACGGAGAAACGTAGGATTGTGTCACAGTTCCTCCTTGACGTGGGATCTGAACGCCTGAGGATGTTGAGAGGCACGTGCTTCGTCTTACAGCCCTTCGAACCTTCTTTCTCTAAACCAACATCTTTCGTTCATCACTCACGATGGGAGCAACAGTAGAAGGACGCCACAGCATACACCAGCAGGATGGACAGGAAATATCTCAGACTCCACTGTGGTGGGACAAACAGCGCGAACTTCGTGGCTGCTCCATCCGCACCACCGTCACTTTGCCCTAATCAATCACACCATCTCCACCGCATCCTCACCGGTGCTTGCCATCGGTTTTATCACAGCTCTTAGCATCGATGTGGTCTTCCTCAGCCTCGTCCATGAGGCGGCACCACCTACACAGCCACGGTCGGCAGCATCACCATCATCAGCCTCAGTTAGCTCCGTCTCCATCATCAGGAGCATAGTCTTCGCGAGCCATCACCTTCGCCAGCATGACCAGCAGCACCGCCGCTGTCACCGCCACTCGTTGTGATCAATGGCTGTAGTGCTGGCGATGGTGATAGATGGTGATGACAGGGGATGAGCAACATCCCCCCCGGGATCATCTTCTCACAGCTCCTCTGGTCTGGTCTTGGCTTCAAGCTGCGCCCCCGAAGCAACCTGAGTCACTGGCTAAAGCCCATTGCTTAAAAATAGATGAAATACTTGAGCACGCAGCACGGCCGCGGCCCTTCAGCAGGCTGTCCAATGGCTGCGCCTGCATCTGCGATGCAGCATGAGTCCAAGCTGTCCCCATATTATACTATCAATATAATAAGGAACCCCCCAAATATAAACATAGGTTATGATTAAGGCCCCTATGTTATGTAAAAGCGAGACCTCAAGAAATCGAAATCGGAACTCCTCAGCTGGCCTCCGCGCACGATGGCAGCACTGTGCCCTGTGCGTCATGCCCCCCCCCAGCACAGCGCACGCCACATGCTACAATCCTCTATAATCTACCCCCTGCCTCTGGGCTGTCTGCACTTTCGACTCTGACCAGGCATGTCAGACCAGAGATATTGACGCCTGTGATGGGATTGGCTCGACAGCGGTTGGTACAGCTCATGATAGGGACGGCGTGTCATGAGCCTGAGATGGTCTGAGGAAAGGACCAGCCAACAAATGCCCATACTGCATTTCCTCGACACCTCATTCCAGATCTCGCTATGGCCCGTGCGATTGCCGCATTGCCGGTGGAGGAGCCCAGACAAACTGAGGCTGCTGAGTCTCCAGCTCTCTTTGAAAACTCGGCTGGCCAAATGTACAAATGGGGCACCTGGCAAAACTCTAGACTCTAGTCGTCGCGATATTCATGGGTCGGAATCCCAATGTTGAGCATCAAGGGCGTGATACAGGCATTTAGGAAGCCGCAATGGACTTACAGCTGAAATGATCCATGTCCCAGCTTCTTGAACTCAACAGGCACTAGTTTTCGTTCAAATCCCTGTGCTGACCATCCTGGCCCTGGGGAGGGATGGTCATCCGAGCGCAGTCTGCGGAGTCTGAGTAACTGCTTTCTCTTCTGCCCTCAGGTGGAACATGTGACAATGCTCCATCGCCTAGTTTCCATCCGTGGTCAAGCCATGGTGCGAATAATTCTGTGTTCGCGGAGGTTGTCAGTGTCGACACTGCTGGTTGGAAGCTAGGTCTTACGTAGGTTGTCGAAGAAATGTCAATACGGAGGCAGCGCGGTGACCCTCCGGCAAACCTCAGGCCCACACTGATCACCAGTTCGACAGGTTTGAGGGCTGAGACCTGGACAAAGAAAGCAGTGCAATGCGAATGAAAAAGCAAAGGCCGGAAGCTTGCCATGCAGAAGAAAGTGAGGGCACCACATCTGCACGAACCACGACATCACCTGAAATTCATGAACCATACGGCTTTTCTCTGGGAGATCCTGGAAGCCACAGTGCCGGACGAGGCCCTCCATCCGGCTTGCGCTGTGTGTGGTAAGAGAAGTGCAGGCCTGCACTGGAGGGGCGTACTGGCAGGGTCCAATAGCTGAGAAACAGCTCAAGGCAGCCACCACACCGAGGAAGGACTGGTTCCCAAAGACCAAGCCTTCCACAATAACGGAGTCCCTGCATTCTACTATAAGATCTACTAAGTAACACTCGTTGATGGCTTCGATGTGCCTGTGGTTGCGTGAGCTGATGTCCACTTCCAGCTCTTTGCCTGGCGGAGACCGCACGGTTGGTTTCTTTTCTTTCGTGCCACCATGACCTCAGATCAATGAGCTCGGCACCAAAAAGGTTGATGGTTGGTGCTGAACCTGCTGAACACGCAACATGAAGAACCTAGCACTTGTCAGCGGGCATAAGCCACCACTCTAGAAATCACGGCCGCCTTGTCGGTTGTCCACCTGAGGGTGCATCTATCACCACTTGCTCTGCCAGCATTTCTGAATGGCTTGCCGTCAGCTGCAGCAGCTGGCACCGAGCGTTAGCACACAGGCCCGGCCTCAGAGCTCAAGTTTCGACTGAGAGAGAGAGAGAGCGCAACAAACACATCAGCGAGCTGATCGTTTTGTTTGCCTCAGGCTCTTGCCACTCATTGCCCCCTTCCTCACCAAGGACTTGGACCTGCTGACATCTGTTGAACGAGTGAGGCCCAAGTCTCTGGTGCCCAAGGCTCGTTGCTGGTTAACGGAAGAGCTACACTTGGGAACTCCGCTAACCAAAGTTTCCTTGTTTTGGCCTTCAGGGTTTAGGTCTTTCTGACACTCGCACTGCGGCTCCGCCCACACAAGAACAAAAAGTGGTCTTGGATGCAGGGCAGTGCAGGGTCTTCCCCTTGTTCCGGCCCCCTGAGGCGCAGCGATGCAGTCCGAAGCGCTAGGTTTCAAGCAATGCCACTACAGTCTTCGACTCGCTTCAAAACTCCGTCATGTGTTCTACAGTTCTACAGACCTTTTTGCAAACGCGGCTGCCGACGTCCAGAGATTCATCAGAAGTCACGGAGGATCAACGACACTCCGGCTTAGTTGCTGGATGATTCGAGGCTTGATCACGACAAGCTTCCACCACACGGCAAGTCTAGCAAATGGATTTGCAAGGTACGCGCCAACTCCCGCACTCTTCAGCAACCCCCAAGGCCCAGCACGGAATCCCTCCCGAGTTCCGTCACAAGGAGTGCTGTCATGCTTTAGCAAGCTGGACTTCATACTAAAATGTGCGAAAGGGGCCTCTGCACCCTCGATGGCCACTTCGGCCACCAAGGTCAAGCGATTCCTTTGCAGCTGGAAGTCGCATGACCCTCCCTCGCCAGATTCCTGACATTGCTTTGACTGGCATTGTAAGCTCACGGCTCAACCAATTGTAAGGCCAAGGGGTCTCGACCTGAGCCGAATGAGCTTTGCCCGCTGCCTCCGTTGCTAGCGGATGGAAACAAGTGAAGCCGTCGAAATAGATCTGAGGTAGCTGCTCCGCGTTTCGGAAGCCGGCTCGGCAGACTGCAGGCCAAGGACGGTCATTTGGAATCGAATGATGCTGTTATGCCATTCACACTTAGACAAGCCCAAGCATCAGGAGCCTCAGCATCCATGCTGAAAAGCTCCAGCAACGAGTTGGCCATGGCCCGATGATCTCGCGCAGACATCCGAATCGCGTATGGCCTGTGCACGCCGGGCAAGGCATCACACAATCCGAATCACAGCGCTAGCAGCTGCTAGCAACAAAAGATCGTGCGGCTGAGTCGTGCGCGGTATGATGACAGAGCGCAGATCATATGTTGTGTGTCTCCTTGCGTGGGACCCGTCACGAGGAGCTCTCTAGGATACTCACGCCACCAAAGCCTGAACCCTGAGCTGCAGGCTTCATGCGGGCACCATCATCAACACGGCACTGATCTCCGCGGACCGACCACTCCAAACCTTCAGTCGGCTCGAGTCGCAGCATGTACCAGCAGACAACTGGGAAGATTCGGTTCTACTTCATGATCAGCGTGTTTCGGTCACGGGCTGAAGGTATGGGGGCCAGCCAGATGCAAATATCGTGCATCCACGAGGTTTATCGGCTATGGGCCTGGGATGGCCCGGGCAATGCGAGAAGAAACGGCAGAAGCCTCCCAATGCCACAGAACCACACAACGCGTTGGCCGGACTCGGTTCTACACAGACTACAGTACGCTCATTCCAGGTTTCCGTTTGCCTTCTCTGCCTGTGTGTGGGGTGTGGCATCACTGCTTCGCAAGGTTTTTTTGTTCTTCGTGCCAAGGTATGAACAGAAATTGGGCGGGCAGCATACTTCACTGCCTGCTGGCTTCAGACACTCCTTGCCTGGTTACAAGCAGTCTCCAAGATGAAACGCAGGGGCATGACATTTAGTGGAATGTAGTGTCTCTTTCTCGCTCTCTCTCTCTCTCTCTCTCTCTCTCTCTCTCTCTCTCATTGATCCCCCCTTCGCCCAGTGTGCAATAGTGTCAATGGCGCCCCTCGCCCCCCTCTGCATTTGGGATTCGCAGGCTGCTACCCGCTGTCGGCATGGAAACGGACAAATGTGTGCTCGTTCTTCTGCTGAGAGCTGGGCATGGGCACAGGGTCGTGGGACTTCTCCTGGTGACATGATACTTCCGACATCTTTGGCAATCCGTTGGTGTTGCCAGTCTTAATGCTGACCGTGCTGGTCGCGATGATGATGACGAAGACGATGACGGATGAGGATCAGGATGCGTAGCTTGCGGTAGGCTAGTCAGCGCATGTCGAAATCCGCAGCCTTGCAGACCGCAGTCGCAAAGCACCACTTTCGAGGTCGAAGCGCTCGATGCGAATGCCCTGATATTTTTGCGGGTTTGTCGAGCCGTGGTTGACAGGTTTGATCCCAAGACCCCGCAAACCAGACATACCCCGAGAACTTCTACGAGCCTCAGCATGCACGAGGATGTGTATCAAGACGCTTCCAGCAAACTCGAAGTGCTCTGTCGGCTCAGCCCACCTCTTCGAGACACGTTCAAGACACGGCACACCATCATGACCATCACAGCTCATCTACAGCCCGACACATAACAAAAGGACACGGGATCGAACAGCGCTCGGCTCCTGGCTTCTCTGCAATAGCGAAGGAGCCATCAAGAAAGTTGACCTATAATGCGGCGCACAAACTGCCCACGGAAACGCTTCCGACATCTGCATACCCAGCCACCTGCACTCGAGTACCTCGCTTGTCGGTAACTTTCGTATCACCTGCCAAAGTCTTCTCGTTCAAAGTTGCCCGTCTGTGGCATAGACTTGCAAATGACGAGGCTCGAGCCGGCAGAAGGATAGCCCCTGAAGCTTCCACTGCTGCTACAGACTGCAGGCTGCTACACAACACAAACCAACAAACATCAACCAAAGCCTCTGCTGTGTTGTGCTGGGCAATGCCTAAGCAGGCTCCCAAGTGGGCGTGACACTGGCACTCTGCAAGTGAAAAGTGCAGCAAAGGCTTAGCTCTCTGCTCGGTCATTGCGAAATGTGCAGTGCCTTGCTCGAAGCGGTTCCCATCCGCACCCCATATATATATATATACATATATACATACATACTTACTTACGTGGGATCGCAGTCGCTTCCATCGCTGAGTTCCGAGCTGCCAGGCAGAAAGGCCTGCCGTAACCAAGTCCATGACCTGTGACAGGGCTGGGAAATGCAAACTGAACGAGTCGGCGACTCGGGTTTCAAGGCAGCTGCTAGTTGGGGGAGCACGTGCATTCTCGGGTGCTGCAGTTGGATCACCTGAGGGCGCATGCACGAAAAGGCAGGATGCACACGAGCAAACACGTTCGCTCAATGCTTCCGACCGGAATGATCTGGCCACGTCTGGGCCAGGAACAGCCAATGTGTCCGTGTCCACTGGTACATTGACCTCAAAAATGAAAAGTCTGCTGTGGGTCAACTCAACACCGGACCACTTGCACCGTTACTTCGTGAAGCACAAGGACCCAGCTTCCACCTTGAAGCCGAGAACACCTTCATTATCTGTATCCACGCACCTTGAGACATGTATTCTGTGACCAGTCGGAAGACCGACACATATACACACACAGAGGCGCGCGCACATACGCACACACTCTCTCTCTCTCACACACTCACACACAGAGACATACGCACAAAAGAATCCTCTGAGCCACTGAGAGAGCAACTCCAGCAGTGTCTTTACCACGTTCTTGGAGCGTGTCCGCAAGTCAACCACCTAAGGCAAGGCTCACCAAGAAGCTGGCATCTCAAGGGTGTCCCACCCTAAGCTCAGCTCTGCCAGCTTCGCACTTTTCCATTCGTAGACCGTCCTTGATATGGGAGCTGCTGCGTCTTGCGCGCAAATCATGTGGCCTTGTGGAACTCTAGCCTCTGATTTGACTTCTACGATTCTACAGCTCCGTAAAGCTCAAAATCGAAACATGTGGAACAACTTCTTCGCCACTTCGGACGTTTGAGTTGAGGATGCTGCCCGGCGGGTGAACTGCTAAATCCGAGCATTCCGTCGCGCAGCCGAAGGCATGCCAAAGGTACTGCCTGCCAGAAAGACATGAAAGACTGCGTCACACACACACACACAGTGACTCTTCTCGGGAGACCCTCGCCTCTGTAAAGGACACGTGAAATTTCAGCTCGCCAGGCCACCTCATGAAACTGTTTCCGCAAAAAGAACCTGCGCTAACAAAACCTGTTTTGAGCTGGACTCAGGCCTCCAGGAAAAGCGAAAGCCCCGACTCTTTGGGCGTGCATTTCCGCCTCACGGCGTGCACTAAGAGGTCTAAACAACCACAGAGAGCGGTTTGGCCTGTCGGGGCTGGCTCGCGAGCTGGAGCTGAGCCTGTGCGAGTCGGAATTCGCAGCTCCTCTACGGAGTCCCGTATCGCGGACCTGTCGTTTGTGACCCAGATCGTCCCGTGTAGCCTGCAAGAAACGTCGAGCCCACAGCTCGAATCAGAAAGACGTAGACATCTGTCTTGGTTTCTGACAGATATTCTCGGCCAACACGTCCAATATGAGGGTAAACCTCATCAATGGCAGCGTCATGCTCATCCGGTGGTCAAGCAGCTTGGTATGCTAAAGATGGGCTATGCTAGGAGGTATCTCGTGTCTTCAATGTCCCAAGGTGATGGAGCGGAAGCATGGAGGATGAGAGTGACAAAACCTCATCAGACCTTCTGGGCCTCATGGGTACTGAGCTGTGTGCTTTCAGTGACGAGGAGACGGGGCACTAACTCAATGATGGCACATTGACAGTTTTGGCGCAAAGTAGCTTGTGCCCCTTGTGCTCTCACCCAGCACCCAGCCAAGGAAGTGCTGGTGCTTCTTAGGCTCGGGCTGCGCGCGGGTCAAGGACATTTGATGGTCCACGACATCGCCACCATCCACTTTGTCCGAAACCGCATGAAATTCGATGGGCCTGGCATTTCAGCCAGTTCAGCTCTCAATATCACGCCGTCACAGCCGGGTCCCACCCATCGCTTGGCATCTGCAAGACAGCTTGAAGGCCTAAGAGTAAGAGGCCAAGAAAGATGAGTTCGTTGGTGCAAAGGTTCCCATCTGAGTACCCATCTGACCGGCCAAAGCAGTTCGCTGGTCAGAGGTGGCTCTTGTGTCTCTGCCTTTGCCGCTGTTCAATACCCTGCTCCGGTTGAGAAGCCATCGCACTTACTCTGCAACAGCTATGCGTTGAGCTCTGCTGTCTGACGCGTGAGACTTTCAGGCACGGCTTTTCCGTGCCAACGAATTTCACCCACATCTCTGCTTCTGGTGGGTGGGTGCTATTGGGTGCTATGTGTTGGTGCTTTCCAGATCAAGTGCTTCTCTCACCGTCGAATCCAATTTCGCCTGAGCCGGGCTGCAAGGATGCAAATCCTCGTTTGTCTGTCGCGAATGGGAGCAATGTTGGCGCGATTGATAAAAATGCCAAAGTACATCAAGACGGCATTCTTCCAGCAGTTGCTGCAAATGCAGCGGTGCCATTTTCACTGCCGTGTCCTGCCAAGAACATTTGCTAGTTTGCTCGCAGAGAGGACTTTCGTGTTTGTGGCAGAGCTCCTTTTGACTCATCAAAGTCGACAACTCTTCTCTCCTGGCAGAGCTGCCCGAACGCAAGCACCAAAGCCGCGACAAACCGAACCTTTTGTGCCTTGCTGCTTGAAGTGTCATCGTCTGGATGTTCTTCGCAGCTGCAAGCGTAGCATTGTTTAGAGCATTCGCTGCCGGACCGCTGATCGCGGTTTGGAGTGAGTTGGCTGCCTGGCAAAGAAGAAGCGGTCTGCAGAAGTCAGCAAACCGCCTTTCGCGCCTCGAAGGGGTCGGACTCAAATTGGGCAAGAGCCGACTCGATGGCCTTCTTTGCGGCCTCTCGGTCCTTCTGCTTCGAGTTCGTGCCTGCACGCTGACACGTTAGCTGCGTCTGATCCCCTGCTTCCCGGATCCCCTCCGTGCCTCGCTGAGGCCCTCCTATGGCGAGGCTGCCCCAGATATTCACCTGCCTGACACAAGACTTTCGATGCCTCTCTTGTGCAGGCATGTGCTGCCTGAGGTTCAGTCAAGCTGCACACCAAATTCACCACGGAACTTGGCCCAAGCTTTGCTGAGCGAGGACTTGGTTTCTTCCAACGCCGTAGCCAAAGCTTCTGCCTGTCATAGCAAAGCCATCTTGAAATCGCATCTTTATGCATGCAACCGTCGATCAAATAAGTGCCATCAGGTGATGCCTCGACTGGGCCCCAAGCCTTCGGGGAGCCTCAACCACTTGCGAAAACCACTGTCGCAGTTGGGATCACACAGCTGCTGCATGGTTGGAAGGGCGACCGAACTGGTCGGAAACTGCCATGTCGTGTGCAGCTTTTGCGGGCATGGCTTGTGTGCTTCAGTATAAGTCCGGCACCTTTCATAGATAAAGGCGCTGTGGGTGGTTCGAAAATGGTCTCTTCTGCTGCCTATCAAAAAACGAGCCGAACAACGTCCTTGCGCTACGTAGTGCAGCACGACACAGCGTCTGCCTTGTCCAAGGCATATCCCGACCCGCCACCATATTCCACTCGGCTTGTGGCTTCACTCTGATCCTGCCAGGTGCATGTGTAGCATTGTAGCGGTCTCGTTACGAGTCGCCTTCTCGCAGGGTCCACAGCCACAGTTCTGCTGTCCCATCCTCAGTGTTAATCGATCGAAGGACGGCTGCTACTTGCACAGCACATCCGGTCAAGGTATCCTTTACAGAGTTGACACCACATCCGAAAGCTCTTCGTGATGTGGCTCCCAGGTAAGCTGCAGGCAGCCGTGGGCGGAGTTGGTTGTTTCGCGTTTGGAAGGCTCTTCAAGCTTGAGCCGTGCGCTGCAGGATGCTGTGGCTGCTGTAGCTGTTTTTCACTCAACCAAGGAGAGCACACATCTCTGTGAACTCAGCTCGCAACAGAGGCCACATCTTGCTGATACCTGATGCCCATCTGGATCAACTAACTCTACAAGAGTCGCCTGCTGCGACAGCCCCTGTGTCGTGGCACTGTCCCACGTAGGTGAAGTCAGGTGTAAGTTCGTGGCAGCGTTCCCAGGACATGGGCTCCACGAAGCTGCAGCTGCACCTGAAGCTTCGGGCATGCGCCAGACCCTCAATAAAACCTCAAGCGCTCCCAGTGTGGGACCTCGTTCCGCAGCAGCCCGCCAGAAGCCGCAACGTGCCCGAAGTCGAGCGTAAGGCAGCCTTCGCCAACTGGCGGCCTCAAGTCTCGGAGCAGCGGCAGAAGCGGCGTTCAAAACAAAACGCGGCCTGTAAAGAGGCTCGCCGCAAGCTTCGTCCACCTTTGCCGACCAGCTCAAGGGTGTAAAGCCGTGCCCAAAGAGGTCTCCTACCTCCAGCTGCCCTCCGGCACTCTGCAGCCTGAGCTAATCTTCAACATCTACGTTGACCCAAGTTCGGAACTGCGCCAAGAAAAAGCCTCGGCGGAGAAAGGCAGCGCCCGTCCGTGGGCCTGGAGCATCAGTGTACTCTCGGGCTGAATCATTCAATGCACTTGCAAAAAGCAGGCTAGATCTCCTTTCTCCATGTGGTGTCCACGGTCGGGTCTGGGTTTGGGTCTGCAGACGAATTCTGCACTATATTAACTATAGTTGAAAATCTACTGATTAGACTACTGACTCACAGCGCGGCTCATGTGTCCCAGTCGACCGTGCAGCCTATAGGATCAACATATCGGGAGTTTGCACTCGCAACACGAGGCGAGAGCTGCTGCACAAGCGCCTGCAAGCTAAGGGGGCAACCGTCTGTTTCGGAGCAGGTCACCCACGGGTGGGCCAGGCACTGTCGAATGCTCAGGCGTTTTGAAACATCCTGTGCATGAAATTGGCAGCATCGTGCCCAGGACATGCTCAAAGTCTTGCGTACAGTCTGATATAGAACTGCTAAGCATGATAGACACGAGCCGGCACTCCTTCTCCAGCATCCTTTCAAGAAGATCTCTGGCTTCTTGCGAGCAATTGACAAGGGCAGCCTTGTCATATTCGGACCTGGCAGCAGAGATGTTGGGGCCGGAAGGCTCCCCGAGTCGGCACATTGAGGCCTGATGATTTCCAGCTCCGTCCTGCAGGTCGTGGCAAAGGCAAGTCAAGGGCCTCATCAAACCGGAAGCTCCTGAACGGAAGTTTTCCCGACAGGCAGGTGTACAGGCAAATGCCGGCAGACCTCGGCGAAGCAAACGGTGTTTTGTTAGCGACATGCGCATGCAGAGCTGGTCAGAGAGGCAAGCCAAACATCTACCTTCGGACAGAAGAATGGCTCAGACCTGCTCGGCCCACGGAATAATTTCATTACCCTTTCACAAGAAGCCACAACTTGCCTGGGGTCAGCCGCCGGCGACAAGACAGACACACCTGAGCAGCATATGGCCGGCAAATGGGAACATGATCGAAAATCACGGCCTGACTGCAGTGTTTACAATGGTTTACAAAAGCGAATCAAAAGAGTTCAGGGTCGGAGGATTCTGCGGATCAGTTCAACTGGAAAGGAAGGCTGTGGCTGGGCATGCAGAAATGGAAAATGAACAGCTTACGATCACCCGACCTTACACAGGATGTAAGCCCTTAAAGTGACAAGCCTGATGAAGTATATAAATACCTCAGCATCAGCTTCAGACTAGGAGAGCAGAATGTCATCGCCTATTTACTTTTGGAGACTTGAGCCCAGCCTGGTTGCGGGCCATCCCAGCTAAAGCTCGCATGGACCGCGTTGACCTCGCTGAAGGGAAGCCAAGCGATTCGTGTGCGGGGAATGGTGCTGAGGCAGCTGCGGGTCCCAACTTTGCTTTGGCAACTTCTGGTGCCATGATGGACCTCGGCTGCTAGGTCCCGTCGCGCCACACGAGTGGAAGCATTTTGCGACAGCAGGGCAGCCGGCGGTGTGCCAACCACAGTCTTCAATGGCCCGTGGCCCAGGCACTTGGCGACCTTAGCATTCTGCAAGTCCCTACATTCATCCGGAGCTCCAGTTGCTTGGCATACGGCTCCGAAATCGATCAGCTTGACGCGGCTGCCATGGTCGATCGCATCGCCAGTGACCATCACGTTCCTCAGCCAAGGGCCAAAGGATCTGCTTCCTCTCGCAGGACACCTGACAGCTGTTGGCGAGATGCTCTGGCTTCAGGTCCCGGTGGATGATGCCGCGGCTGTGCATGTAAGAGAGCCCATCGAGGACCTGCGTCAACTCGAAGATACAACCAACGTGGGCTTTACTAACCCCTGAGTGGGTTTCCATAAGCCAGGCCTGCAAGAAGATGTGGCGGGCAATCGACTCTTTCAAAGCTCCTTGGAGCGCAATGTGTTCTGCAAGCTCCTTGCCATGCACCACCTCGCAAGGGGCAGTGGCGGGAATTGCTTTCTTGTTGAAACCTCCCAGGGCCTCCATGACAACGACTTTGTAACGAGGTCGGACTTTTCCGGCATGGTCCACGGTATTCACTGTGGCCGTGGAAAGCAGCCCGGCCTCATCTAGTCTCAATGACCGAAGGCACCCAGCTTACTGAAGACGAGACGTGGAGACATCAGCTCCTGACAATGTTGTCGTGTTTCCCAAGCATTCTCAATGTATCGAGCTCTCCATTAATGGACGCCAGCTTCTTCTCCTCGCAATACCGAGAAGGGTGTTTGGGTTTCAGTTCTGGCCGGTCGCACCTCGAACCCGGGCTCGAGGACAAGTCTCCACGTGGGAATGACCTTCGTCTTCGAAGCTGCCTTTCACTAGGCTTTGCCGCTGCGGCCTTGATGGCCACAGGATCGCCTTCTTCGGCTCGTCCTCTGTACCTCACATCATGCTTCAATTTCGAGCTGGCCCGCCATGCAACCTCCTTTCGCAGGGCTCAGCTCCGCACACGGTGCCCTGGTCAGACAAGGCGAATTTGGACTGCAGTGGCTCTACGAACGTTCAGTGGCCATCTGCATTGTGCATCCTCGTCCTGTTCGTCGTCGTCACGAACAAGAGGACAAACTTCTATTTTTGTCTCATGAGATCACTGCTACCAGGTTTTTGCTAAATTAATTGCTGATGCTACATCATTGTATTGTTGCCATGATTGGCGGTCCTCGTCTGTCACCGTCGCAAATTTCGCCAATGTTGCTCGCTCTTTTGCCCAACCAGGGCAAGTTTGGTCACTTGGTTCTGTCACGGCTCGCACACACAAGGGACGCCCTCAGTTCAGCTAGGGGGAAGCAGCTACTCGCTATGTAGTGGGACTGTTCTTTCATTTGCTTCAGCCGTCAATTTCGAAGGCCTATTCCCCCGGAGGTTTGATGGCTTTGCGTGCACGTCTAGACATGACCTCATTTTAGCATATCATACTAGCACTGCGGTGACGCTGTCTCGTACACTCACGTCGTGAGGTTGCCTGTGAAGAAAACCTGCTGAAGGCGAAGTGCTTCAGGTATCACAGCTACCAGCAGCTATACTCCGTTAAGTCAACCAAGGTGATTCTTTTTTGTCGTAGGGGACGTGCGCCCATATGACTCGCGCAATCACAATGCTAAGGGCAACCAGAAGTACAGTAAGAGGCAGAGTAACATCTACACCCCTTGCCGTGCAGCTCAAGCTAAGGCGGATATTCATACACAGGCTCCAGGTTGCCCTGGGCTTTCGAGCGAACGATTGAACACCAAAGCGACAGTGTATAAAGGCATGTGAAGGGAGCCCTGCGTACCCAAAACATGTTATGCAACTAGAACCGGAAGCAAGGCACGGCAATCAATACCGGCGGGAGTGGTTCCATGAGTGAATCGGTTGGTGACGATGCGGCAGGCGTCCGCCTGGCCGCACCAGAAGAATCTGCAACGTCAAGGACCGCCGCGAGAGCGGCCGGCCAGTTTGTGCTTTCCAGGTTTGCGCTTGAGCCATCGTGCTTTAAGCTTGAAGCCCTTCCGTTTGTAGACTTCAGTAGTAGTCCACCCACCACGAACTGCATGACGTGCACACCAGACAGCCTCGACGGTAAGGGCCATGCCCTCCAGGGCCCGAGTATCCTTCCTATGACGAGCACCATCAGTGTTATGTAGCAGCTCCCTGACCAGGCCGATGTGCTTAGGATCATATGCAGTACGGCATCTCGCCTGGCTGAACTAGTAAAGCTGAGCCAGTTCAAGTGCTTCCATGACTCACGCAACATGTGGCCGATCTTATCACGGCCAGTCTTTCTGGCCCCGTCAAGGGGCTTCCATGATGCACCCAGAAAACTGTGTGCCCCTTTGCCACGAGTGACAGACCCAGCCTGCGTGCCGAAGAAAGTCATGAGCAAGTCGTTGCAAAACGCTTGTGCAACGACGGGTGTCATCCAAATGCTCTTGTGCCATGCTCTTTCACCAAAGTAACGCTTGCCTCACGTCTACCACTGGGGCCAAGCACCTTGTGGCGCCGAGAAGCACGTTGTGCAAAAGCTTTGAGCCTTCGCGAAAGCATCACTTGTCGCACGCACCGCGGTGTCAAGAGCTTTCGTCTGAGCCTTAGTGGGAGCCGCCGCAATCCAGCCGAAAGAGGCTTTGCTAACAGCAGCGATCCTTGCCGTGTCCAGATTCTCCGCATGCCCCAGAGGAAGCAGTCGGATCCGCTTGCAGATGTGCTGAGCATCGTGAAGGCGTTGAAGTTCTTTGTCATTGGGTTGGCGCTCCCCTTCGCTGGTGGTACAGCAGCCCCAGATGACCGCCGAAGGGGTCAAAGCTTTGAGCAGCACCCGGTCCTCGCCAATCTCCGTCAACAATTTGTGCTTTCTGTCGGTGTTTGCATAGGTAATTTGAGTTTTGCTCTCATACTCCTCGAGCCCGGCCTGCTTACTGAATGCGCCAGGAGCACAAAGTATTCAAAAGCAAACGTGCCGAGGAAGAAGTCCAAGTTCTGTCGTCCATGTACACGACGTGGAGTCTCTGCATGGGAAGGGCCGCACAGTGGGTCTTGACAAAGTAGACGCCAGCAAACATCAAGATGTTAAGAGCCAAGGGGAACAAAGCGTCCCCTTGCGGCATCGACCTTTCTGTGCATAACAGTCTGGAAGACGTGCTGCAATTCCTCTGAAGGATTCGCTTCTGGTGTCCACTGATCAAGCACAACCGAAGACAAGGCCTTCGGAAGGCCTACGTGCTCCATTCCCAAAGAAATCGCGGCCGGAACGACATGATCGAATGCGAGGGAGTAGTCCAGAGCGGCCAAAAAACCATGCACATGTACTTCATCCACCTGCTGCAGGAGGGAGTTGCCACAAAAGTCTGAGTCACCGGCAGGCAGTGGCGACAGCGACGATGCCGGCTCGGAGGATGACCCGGACCCTGGTGGTCATTCTTCTACGGCTTCCGCCTCAGCCTGACGGTCGTGCCTCCTCTTTGCCGGCGCGCTCTTCTGTGAGAGTTTCTTGCGTGAACGTTCGCGATGCTCCGGGTCTTTGGATGTCTTTGGAGGCTCAAAGTTTTGGAATGCAACTTTTATTTTGCAGATATCATTTGCATCAAGGAGTCTTGTGTCTTTGCCAATGAGTTCAGCACAGTCGCGAACAAGTTTTTCAATTTGGGCTTCAAGGCCCACTGGGCCGAAGGATCTCCTGGCAATAAAGCCACCGGTGGTTGCATCACTGTGGTGACGCCTTCACTCGCCTTCTATCCCGCCTAGGCTCATCGAGGTTTCTCGGGTGGCCCACACCAGAACATATTTATAGAGCTTGATTCATCGTGGATGGTCTGCAATTCCTGCACCCCCACGACAGCATCTCCGCTACACTGCCCATCAAGCTTTGACTGAGCTCTTGCACAAAATAAAGCTGTCTGCAGGTGGACGTCCTTGGGTTGCTCTGCGTGTTTTCACTGCTTTGCCTACAGAGTTGAAAGGGGTGTTTGGGTCGCATGTGGCGCTTTATTTTACAAGCAGTGCAGATATGAGAGTAGCAGATACATTGATCACATTTGGTCTAATGAGCACGATTTACTGAAGAAGGCTTGGTTCTTCCTTACAATGTCAGCGATCATAGAAGTGGTTTTCTACTAGCTTGCCGTCTCGGCGGGACGCTGAGACCCACCGATGCGTTCGCTGCAGGGGCCACGTTTGGTCCTGTCCGCCCGAGGATGGCAGTTCAATTTGGAAGGAACACCTTTCAAACATCTGGGTGCAGTGTGACACGTCCTTTCTTCTTGAGAGTGTTGCTTCCGCTGAAGCCAGCCCTAGCCAAGCCACGGTGGACAAGACCTGGGGGGACCGGAATTGTTTTCATCTTTCTTCGCTGTTGCGACGAGCTCGTTTTTTCAGGCCACTGAGGGCCCCTTTCGGCCTGGCCTGGAGGCTTGGAGCAAGAAAGCTGTGCAGGCGACCTCTAAACCTGCCAAACCTCAAACGCAGTGGATTCCAAAGCTGGGTCGGCGCGAGGCTGACAACATGTCTTCCCGCAAGTGTTGCAACTGGCTTTCCAGAGCTGGGCGCAGTACAAGAGCTCTTGTTCGCACAACCAAGGTGTGGAGTTGCAAAGATTACTGTGCAGAATGCGCCGCCATATGCCTTCGAGGGACGAGCATCCGTCTTTCATGAGGCAGCTCGCGGACGACATCAAGCAATTGCAGAAGTTGCAATGCGCCGCTAAAAATTGTTACGTTCAGCGTTGGCGCCATTCCATGCAGCAAAGTCTGAGAGAGAGAGAGAGAGAGATGTAAGTGGTTTCGTAAGAGCAAGCTGTGCCCCAACGTGCTTCATGGCAACCTGCAGCCCAACAACGACCAAAACATCCTCAAGGCAATCTGTGAGCGCTGGCAGGCTACTTGGCGGGCCTCCAAGCAGACATCTCCGCAGCTCAAGACTCAGATCGTTCTTGACAATCTTCCAGTGCATAAGTCGTTGTCGGGTCGTCCAGACTTTGAAGATTTTAGCCCGGCTTGGAAGGAGCTTGGCGGCTCTAGTGGCCCGGACGACTGGCAGATGGAGGAAATCCGCAGTCTGCCTGAAAGTGCCATCGCCATTTTCAGTCGTTGGACTCGCAGCTGGGAGTCCTCGGGCTGCACACCTTCGGCCTTGAAGTTTAGTCGCCAAGCCAACCCGGCGAAGCCGCACAAAGTATCAAATGGAAGCATCAGATGCTCTGATCTTCGTCCCATCAACGTGTACTCTGTCTGGTACCGTTGGTGGAGGCATAAGGTTTTCCCTGCTGAAATCACAGGTGGCTTAAACAGCCCTGGCACTGAACAGCTGGCGAACGGCCCTTCCACCCGAAGCTTCCGACTCCTTGGAACTAACGACTTGTCTGGCGAGCTCTCCCTTGGCAACTCGCGACAAAGCAGACAGAATCTTTGTGTCAAGCGTCAGAAACTTGCCTGTTTCCCGAAATGACTCCAAGGTAGCCGACCGCTCATGCACTTCCTGAGCCCATTTTAAAGCCTTCGTCAGGTTTGTCGGATGCGGCCCTTACAGCCTCGCGTACTGCGATCGTCGACGATCTGTAAGTTTCCGGGTTAGGGAAGTCGGGGAGCTTCACGGACTCAGCTTCCTTCGCTTTTGGCTTGTCATCATCGGTTTTACCGACTGCAGCTCGGAGCGCAGAGGCGAGGAGATCACTAGTAGCTCCTGTTTTGGGAGCTTCACTAGTTTTCTGCTGGCCTCGGGGGCCAGGTCCTCCTGCTCGTGTGGCCCGTCGCCAACGTTGAATATCTGGAACCTTCCGCAAATTCCCTCGGCTTCCTTAGGAATCTGGTAAGGATGGGGAAGACTAGGCATCCACGAATTCCCAGCACCCTGGAGACCTTGGACTGCAGCACCACCTTGCGGCAGGCTAGGTTTTGCGACTCACTTTCCAACACCGCTCCGATGCAACCGGGACGTGGGGCTCCAACTTACATTGGGCTTAGCCTTTTCTCGGCAAGTTCGGTCCTTAGTGGGCCGGCCTCAGCCTGCAATTCTGTGTTTTGATCCACCAAATCTGTTACCAAATCGTCATGTTGCAACTCTTCAGCCTTCTACCTCTGAAAACACTCATTCTCTTCCCACTGAAGCTTTTCCTCAAACTCTTGTGCTAGGTGCTCGGGAAGCGACGATCGGTTGTCGTCGGACGATTTGCGAAGCTGTGCTGTCTGTAGCTCATTGTGCTTCAATGCTGTCTCGAAGTGAAGTGCGCGAGTTGTGGGCGACATGTTTTGTGAAGTGAGCCTAAGTGCTGCTTGCCTTTCCTCATGGCCGTCTGTCTCGCTGCGAAGTAGCCTCAACTCAAACTGCTCAGCTTCCGCCCTGTATGCAGTCATCTCTGTGTTGAGTTGAGACACCAAGACATGTGCGCCTTGTTGATGAATGTGCTAATCGCCTGATGTCTTCGGCGTTAACGTCCATCATCATCCGATGCCGATGCCGGACTTCAGCTTCTTCTTCGGCGGTGCGCTCCAATGTCCAGTCGATAATGAACACATTAATCTGTTGGTTCTCTTGGAGCAACTGCGTGAATAGTTCTGTGCGCTGGTGCCCTGCCCCGTTTCCAGCATTACCCTTGTTGGGGACCAACGCCATCAGAGCTACCTACGGCTGACAACCTGAAGTTTCAGGTATCACAGCTACCAGCAGCTACAGCTACACACCGTTCAGTCAACCTGGGTGACTCCTTTTTGTCGTAAAAGACTTCAGCCCACGTGAGCCGCGTAATGCAATGCTAAGGGCAACAAAAGTACAGTATGAGGCAGGGTCCACTCTGCATGAACTATTCCTCTTGACACGTCCTCAAGCTGTTTGCTGCACGACCGCTTCCGACAGGCCCAGTCGCGACCAACTCGACAATTCTGCTTACTACTTTCTACTTTCCCACACGTGGTCTGCATTCCGTTTTTTCTTGGCAATGCTAGCCCGTCGACTTGAATTGGGTTTTGACGAATGCTGGGTCTGTGGCCTTCATCATCTGGGAATCGAACTGCTACTGCTTCTCTCACCATGTGCACAGTACAGTTTAGGGCCACAGGCTGCCTGCGCTCCGGACCCCAAGACTTGGTCGAAGAAAATCTTGTATCTGTGGCCGTTCTCGTAGCAAATCTCGGACTCGGTAATCCTCAGCATGCCGTCTCGCAAGAGCTAAGCGCCCTGCTCGTCAGGGTGTATGGCATGTGTTGTGCAGTATGCTGTAGCTAAGCCTGGCTCTCCTCAAGCCCCTTGAGAAGCGTCGCTGACCTTAGAAACCTGACGTGCTGAACAGCGCACACCCTCACAGCGCCATGCAGTGCTGCAGCGCAAACAAGACTTTGCCTCCGGAAAGGACGCCGAGAAAGGAAGCTCGAAGCGAAGCCGGTTGCGAGCCAGGCCGGCCAAGCCCTGTTGGCAGCCACTTCCAGCCACCCGTGTTGGCTCGGTGAGCCCTTGCGCAACGCGGAGCGTCGAGGACGAGGGCCCCCGGTCCGCAGGGCTGCGGGCGCTCGCAGATACCAGAGTTCAACTCGCTCTGCGCCATTGCCATAGAGACATGCCATGAGTCAGAATCGGAATTTCTCACATGTCCTGTGCTCAGTGCGGCAAACTAAACCGGTTCGCTTTTCCGTCTTTGCACTGTACCATGCGCCATTCTTGCGGCATTGTGATATGAATGCTGCGGCATAACACAAGAGCACAGAAGGACGGAACAGGCTCTGTCTTAGTCGCAGGTGCAAGATGTACAGGAGCTCTGCACGAGCTTGGCGCGCTGCAGAAATACCATTGGTGCTCCGATGTCCAGCTGAAAACGTGCCTCAGGAATCCGAATTGCCAGTACAGGTTCTCGGTCAGCATCCATCTTCAGGCCACTCAGCCCGGCTAAGCTGCATGCTCCAGGCTGCTCAACCTGTGAGAAACGACAACCCACGAACTCTTGAACTAAGCTCTGCATCGTGATCTCTTGTGCATGTAGACATGAGCATCGAAGTGCAGACCAAGCCTCGTTCCTTTTCGTCGCATCGGGCTTGTCTACCTGAAGTCGAACAAGTGGCTCATAATGTGGGTAAACCCAAAGCCTCATGGAGCTATTGCTGCAGACCTGGCCGCCACTTTCTCCAGGAAGTGCCTGGCGCATCACTCACTTGGACTTCACGTCCTTCTGCAGTGCCACAGTGACGGCCTCGGGCCATCTTCTTGACCTTCAGCCGCAGACTGAGTGGCTCGGAGAAGGCTGCATCGGCGAACTAGGTCCCCGGACGGCATGGCATCCTTGATGGATTTGCTCACGAACGCCACGAGCATGTCGTAATCCCTTTGCCTCGTGCACGATCGATCTTCGCAACTCCCACACCATTCCCACACCCAACGTGCCCGTGCGGGCTGGCGGTCCTGAAGAGAATGCAGATCTGGGCCTCAGCACAGAATATGAAGCCCACAAAAAGACCTGCAAGGCAGAATGCTGCATGAGAGCTCCACACGCCACAGTCTTACACCGCAAACTTCCATGAAGTTCACTGTCCGCCCATGCGCGGGGGTCTGCTGGTTGGAGCTTGCTTTGGCTCGGGCTCAATCCATCGCTGATCTCGTGACAACTTCCTTGCGCGCTGCTCGGAACTTGTCCCAAAGAATTGGATTCTTGGCCGCGGAAGGCAGCCTCGGCCGAACATGACCGTCCAGAATCAAGAGCATTCCTTCTCGAACATCCTCATACTTTCGGAGAGGCGCAAAGAGTTGGGAGATTTGTGATTCCGGCACCTGCTGGAGGAGTGATTCCACCATGTGTCGTAAGACCAGGCCCAAGATGCCTCGCAGTCCCTGGCTGCCACCACCGTCCCCGGTGTCGCCACCAAACCGCATGAAGCGAATGATCGAAACTGGTAGCATCACGCTGTTGGAGGCCATCATTGCAGCACATAACTCGGCCAAGCAAACTGCAGCGCGCACTCCATAGGTGTGCGCTTGCTGTATGTGTTGCACCGCTGCTCTTTTCATACCGTGTGAGAACCTCTTGCCTGCAGGGGCCGGAAGACCACAAAGAGCATGTGCAACATGAGCATAAAAGGCATTCGGTGCCTTCTCGCGAATGGCACAGTGAAAAAGGACGATGCAGCATTCGACACAGCCAGCCTTAGCAGCCGATGCTGCCACAGACAATCGCTCCGCTGCATCCTGAAAATCCTCGGCCCCCATGAGGGCTACAAAAAGACTCTGGCGCAACTCGGATGTCAGGCGCTGTGCGACGGCAGCATCCCTCAGTGGGTCGGCAAGAGTGCCCCTTTTGGATTTGGCCAAGATGGTGGAGGCACCCCCCTGCAACGGCCAATTAGGAGGAGCTTCGTCTTGCATCAGCTGGAAAGGCACTGCCAGAGCATGCTCCTCCACTTTCTTGCCTGCCAACAAAGGTGCGGTTTGCAGCCATCCCTGGGTTTGCTTGAAACGATCCATCACAGCAAAGGAAACTTTATTGTTCTTGAGATCGGCCAGCTCTCGCAACAAGTAGTCCAGGCGTGATTTTATCTCAGAGCCATCATCAGACTTGTCTCTAGAGTTGCTCGCTTCTGCTGTAACGAAGTTGAGCACAGCGCGGAAGTCGTCCGGACAATCGGATCGTAGTTTCCGGCCGCCATAACGTAGTATCGCAAGAGATAGGTCAATGGAGAGTTCCGAGGCGGATCTAGCAAACACGAATCGCACGATGTCGAAAACAACGCTCCCTGGCAGAACTCCGAAGCTGAAAAGCAGCATGTTGAAAATTATGCTGCTCTTGGCAACGCGAGCGTCCGGATTTTGTAGCTCCTCCTCGTTGTCCTCATTTTCCTTTTCCCGTCTGTTCTCCTCCGCAGCTGCCATTCGATCCTTGAGTGTCTTCGCGCTCTTCAAGAGAGCTGCGGCCCCAAATGCTGGCCCCAGAAGCACATGGCAGGCGGCCACCAATGCCGCAAAGCAGCCCAAGACAAGGACGGAAATATTCGGATCACCTACTGCTGCCTGCAACAACGCTTCTGCAAATTCATGAGCAGCTGTAGCAGAGCCCACCGACGGCACCAGCTTGCTCAGCAGCTGCACCAGTTCATTACAACTTGGATCCAAGTTTCCCTCAGAGACGCGATTCAAAATACCTCTCAGCTGGCGCAGGTGCTGCAGTTGCACGGTGTCTTGCCTCTGTTTGCCACGCAGATGTGGAGGGATGTACCGGCCTTGTTCATGCTCTCCAGGGGTGGAATTCTCACCCTGCTCACTGCCGTCACTGCTACCAACTTCAGCATCATCTTCTTCCATCTCTGATTCCATGTTCTCAGGAGCGGAGCCTTCATCTGCATCTGCCATCTCCATACCTGCACCGTCCTTGCGCTCTTCACCTTCTGCATTTTGACATTCTTCGGATGTGATTTCATCGTCGTCGTCCATGTGTCGCATCCTCTTGCTGCTTGCTTGCATTGCTTTGCCTGTTTGGGCCTTCTTTGCCTTCGCGGCATCAGGCCGCACGTTCTGCTCTTCCTCGGGAGCCTCGGCATGTCGATGGCCACCGAAGAAGTGCGCGCGGCGCGCCTTCTTGTCCTTGCGCTGCTGCCGACGCTGCACCCGCCTGGATGCACGAGGCCCGTGCAGCGGAACCGGGGCATGGCCTGATTGCTCGCTCTTGGCCTTGCCTTTGCCGCTTCGAGCTAGCTTGCCTTTGTCCTTGCCTTTGCCTTTGCTCTTGCCGCCCTTGCCCTTGCCCTTTCCTTTGCCTTTCCCGCCCTTTCCTTTCCGATGCAGCAGATGATCCTCTCCACCCTCTCGCAAGACTTGTCCAACGAAGCTCCGGAGCTCCTTTTGTACACTCAACTTGGGCATTATCTGCGAGTGCCATGTGTGCAGCAGCAGTTTCGTGAAACGGCAACCATGGCCCACAGGATGCTCAAACCACGAGGAGGGGCAAGCCTATCCCGCAGGTTTACGACGAAGCTGCTTAGAAAGGTTGCATGCCGGACAACTTCGGTGCTAAAAGTCACCTTGGGCACTACAGATGCCATGTCGTTCCGGAAACTGCATTCTGAGCAGCAAAGCTACCATATCAAAGTGCTGCTGTTGCGAATGCGGTGCCCAGAACATTGTGGAAGCTTTGGGGTAATTAGAGGGGCCGGCCAACAGGCTTTGAACCGGGAAGCCACAATCGAATGACGGCGTATTGGTTCGTATTTGCGTAAGGCGTAAATGCTTCATGGCGAGTTTCTGTGCAAAGAAGAGTGGGCAGGCTCCGTTGGCCACAAGCACAAGCCGCGTACGATGATGCAAGTACAGACGGGACAAGCACACGTCACAAGCCAAGGCCGCAACCCACGATGCCGTCCATGACAGGGCCGGTTCAACACGAGATCGGTGGAGGATGTTCACCTACGCAAAGTGTATATAAAGTGCAGCTTATGTCTCCCAGGCAGCACGTCAGAGAGAAATTAGAAGCAGCAACCCCTTCCCAACCGACCTACAAAGACCAAGTCTTGAGAAGGGGGCCAAGAAGGCTAGGGGGAAACGAAGGCAGTGCGAGAAGAGAGTCAATTTACAAAGACACCTATTGCAAGCTCCTGAAAAAAGCCAGCAGCTTTCGTGAGACACATACCAAAGCAACACAAGAGTCCTCGCAGCAGGCCCCAGCTTTTGTGAAGTCTGATGGCCTTCAGAAGCTTCTCCCCCCGTCGCGGCATCAGCAGCCTCCGGCCGTCCTCTGCTCGGGCTTTCTCGCACTTCGTGCTACACCAACATCCCGAAAGAGATCCCGGCTAGTTCGAGGGTCACGGCCACCAGCGACACCTCCAATGAATTCTACGCACTTCTCTGGAGTTCGAGAGGCAAAACTGGGAACCGTGCTGCAGCAGAAGCGTCTCCGGATTGAAATGCTCGAAACGAACATTCGGCGCCATTGACACCAACCTCAGACTTTGCGATCATGGTCTCATCCGAAACGCTTAGCGGCTACAGTGTCATGATTCGCAGGTAGAGGTGGAGATGCTTCCAACGCTTCGCCCAACAAACGTCAAACCACGGTAACATACATTGCGGGAGTCGGGAGCTTCGAGCGACGGAAACTTGCCGATGTGCAGCAACCTTCGTCGCTTCATTGTTGTATGCTGGCTTTGGCTCAAAAGAAAAGGCGGGTACTATTCAAATGCCAGCGAGTGGGAGTGATTCTGGTCGTCTGCAAACAGCAGATATCAGCAGATAGAAGCTTTCACGAAGAAGCAAACATCACATCGTTTCACAATGAAGCCAGGAAATTCTGGAGCTGAGCCTGCTCCACAAGCCTGCTAAGCTCAGCCATGCCACTTGCACCACAGGTGGTCCATCGGTAGGACCTTCGCGGTGTTCGCTCCCGGGGAAGACCTCTGAAATGCAGGCCGGATGCTCTGCAAACCGATCCAGACTGAACTAAGGAAGCGGCGATATCTAAACCTTCGTAGAACAGGACCACCTTCACGAGTCGCAAAAGGCTCGGACCCAAAGACAACAAAGCTCGCTAACCACAGTCTCAGGAGAGCTGAGGATGCGCAGGTTTGGGGGTTGCTCTAGCCGCAGCACGTGGATGCTGACATGCTGCAGCACCACATTGACGGACTGCTCGCACATATGTCGGCAACGGGGAAACGCTGGCAACACGGCCATCAGTACAGTAGGTGAGTTTTCAGATGCTGAAATTCCGGCACATGCTGGGCCTCCACAGAGCAGGAACCCCGAGGTTGGAGGCATTCCGCGTCCTTGTCTCAGGCCAACTTGGCAAGTGCAAGTGCAAGTGGCACCAAGACTTGCCTCATTGCTCTTGTGGCTTTCCTGTTCGGTGTCCTGCCAGCTTCCGGATTCAAAGACATGGGGCATGGACCGGTGGTGTCTGATGTTTGCCTGCTGCGCTGCCAGACCTTGCCAGGGACGACAGTCATCGTCAGAATATTGAAACAAGCAACCTTCATGAGGCAGTGACCCGCGTCCGGCTCTGCACCTGGACTCTCGACTAGAAGGTGTTGAAGATCAGAATTTAGAACTTCAGGACAGAAATCCATCGGAGCATGTCGCGCGCCTTGCTCCACTCCTGGAACTAGCTCAGCAAGCCGCTGAGCAGCCTTCTGCTTCACCCGCGCCTGTGCTGCTTCTCATGCGGCCGGCAGTGTCAAGTGTTAACAACTGTACATGCAACAGTAATGCAACCACACGCTGCCTGTATTGGATGGACCACATAGGCGCCCCAAAGCCTCAAAAGACATAACAAACTAAGCTGGGACATCGGCGAGAAGCTGCGCTGCGCTATCGCTGTATGAGAACACCGGTCCACTGCGGAACCGGCCCAACGAAGTTCAGGCAAAGGCTTGGCAAACATCCCAGCGCTGTCTCCAACCGGAAGAATCCCCTGTCAGCAAGGACTTCATCGGATCTGCTGCTGCCCTGCCGCAAAATTCGACAATTGGCGACAGTTGCCGGCTCCTGCACGTGCTCGTGTCCAGCGGCCAGAGCCTCCCAAGCCTGATCAGCTCCGTAGAGGATGCCTGCTGCGATTGCCCGCGGCAGCTTCCGTGACCTCGTAGAAGGCTCCCAGGACCTTGCGACAGCTCTCCAGCGGCACTGCTAGCTCGTACTTCGAGCTGCCTCGCGGATGGGATGCTCGTGCCACCTTGAGGCTGCAAACAAGGAAACAAGTCCCGGACGACATCAACAAAAACGAGAGGTGCCTGTACTCTCAGCTCCGGGCCGTACAGCAATCAAAGTGCTGCCTCCGCGAACGTTTACATGATGATCTGCACTTCTGACCTTGCAAAGAAGCATCGAAATATCTTTCGATGTCGTCACATGGAGTGTCACTAAATTCTGTCCGTGCAGCACGATGCCATTCAACACTGCGATAAGAAGGCAATTTGACAATGAGTGGCCGGCCTGAAGCGACGCACCGCGGGTGAAGGAAACCAGCACCGTACTATCACAGGAGAGGTGGCAAAGCGCGACCTGCAATCTACAGCAATCTCACTTCACTCCAGATGCACTGCACACGCATCTGCAAACTAGGCTGACCTCGCCCGAGATGTCGTTGCGAGATTCATAGCCCGAATACTGGGCTAGAATTCCGTCCAACTCCAAGGAGACCTCAGGCTGGCACTCCACTGCAGGCTGAGGCGAGGTTCGACAGCTTTCGATGTCGATCGGACAAGCGCCTTGTGGCCAGACGCAGGATACAAAACCTCAATACGGTGCTGAAGGCGAAGAAGGCCCGAAGTCTCTTACGGAGGGCCAGCTTCAAACCAAGGCCAGGAACCAGCTGCGTGGTCGCGATGCTCAGCTTGACGTGAACCTCATCGCCACAGATGCTTGGCAGCACTAGTTTCTAGCTACCGCAATCAGCTGAGGTGGAACCTTGGGGTGTACTTTGCCTCCAGGCTCCTGCAACAATCAACGAGTGCTGAGCCGCCGGTAGCTCGAAGTGAGCGACCGTGAAGAAAGAAAAAACCCACACGCATGAAAGGCTTGTGAACGGGCATCTATCAATCCACAAGCGTTTGGCGTGAGTAGCCCATCAGCCGCAAGCATGGGAATCATGTTGGACTTTGCTAGACTCCACATAGAATAGAAAACTCACCAGTGTTCGAAGAGTCTTTCCAGCAAGTCTGTTGTAGCACCAGATCATACCACAAAAGCCTTTCATATGCGAAGGGCATCATGCAAGAGGCATGAGAAGTGAACCAGGCACTTGTTGCAATCTACGCACATGCATAGGGCTTGCATGAAGCGCATTCCGATTTTTTGGTACTCGGACTCGGACAAAGCCTGGCAAGGTCTGTAGCATTCCGATTGCAGGGTGCGGGTTTTCTGCAAGAGTATCAGCCAGAGAACTAGCATGAAGAGTATATGCTGGGTATATGTCTCCTTCCTAGAAGAACGGCCAGCTGTGAATAGAAGCATTCAAGCATGAATGTCGGGTCCAGTTTTTGGCTTTTTTTTTTCTGGTTTTTTTCTGGCTATTCTTTTGGGGTTTCGGGTCGATCCGTATACAAATTTGCAAGAGTCACAGGGATGGCGACCACTGAGACTGTATTCGAGGTCTTGCTGGTGATTCTTTATGGTTTCGGCCTACTGGTCTTCGGCCATCGATCGGTCAGTTAGTCTGTAAATCCGACTGGCCGACCGCCGGCCCCGCCAGTCTACCCGGTTGCCTTCCCTGCCAGTTCAGGCTCTGAGCGTCTTGGCTTTGTGGCTTTACGTTCTTGATGGCACGATACTTTGCGCGGTCCAAAAAGAGCGGAATAGTTGGGCGTCTAGGGCGGGCTTTGCAAGGCCTCATACGAGCTATGTGCTTGACTTAAAATCGCAAGTGGCGAACCAGCGTTATTGACGGTACGACGTTCACTAAAGCACGTTCACGGGGCTTAAGAAAACGGGGGGGGGGGG